GCGGGAAGATCGGAGTTAAGGAAGGGAAGCGTGCATGGAGGAAGTGAGAGAGATAGGGGGGTGAGAGAGGAGGAGACGGGATCGCTGTCGATTATTTGAAGGGTGATTTGCGTTTTAGCCCTCGTGAGACTATTTTATTGCAAGAAAATAGTTGATCCGCAATTTGATATTTTAACCTTGAGATTTTTATGGGTGGGTAGTAGTTAGTAAAATTGGTAATCCCATTTTCCGAGCTGCTGGAGAGAAAATGAGGTGGAAATGTAAAAAAAAAAGGTAATTGAATAATGGAAAATAATATAAGGATCCAAAATATGGGACCAATGGATGGTACAGGTGATGTGTCTCCTCCCTATTGCATAATGAGTTGGCATGACCAACTCATTATGCAATAGGGAGGGGACGTCTCACCTGTCCCCTCCATTGGTCTCATATTTTGGGTCCTCATAGCAGCACTGTTGAATAATTGGGGCGTATGCTTTCTGGGCTTCTCGGGTGAATAAATTGGCTCTTTCTGAAAACGGTATTTTCCTACCTCCGAACTCAAGATTGTGCGACCATTGCTTTTCGTTCTTTGATTTTAGGAATCCTCCTAAATTTGCTGGGTAGCTCAGAAATGTCATTTCCGCAATGAAATGTTAATCTTCGATCCATTGCAACGAAAAATATTTTAAGCATAACCTAGGCGTGCGCAAACTAGTTACTTGAATGGACGCTACAAGCGAACGCCGAAGCACGCGATGTGATAACAAAGTGAGAACCGTTGTTCTGCCGGTCTAGAGAAAACTTTGATACTAAATGTTCATATCGACAAGATTTGAAAATAACCGTCATGCGGTTAGAACTGTTCATGATCAAAGATCCGAAATAAAAACGTACTATCGTCCGAAAACGAATTTCCTTCTCATATTTCCCTTTTGGAAGATTTCGCCGGTGCCGGCACCAGCACGTTCGACCCTGGGCGTCGTGGGGCCCGCTTTTATTGACTGAGTGAGAAGGTGGGGGTCCGCCGGTCCGCAAAAGTTCGTGCATGAAAAAAAGAGATTTACGATCTTCGGACTGACTGATTAAGACCTCGCGTCGGGCCCCACCAAAAGGTAGCCCACGTGGAAACATCTAGTTGGACGTGTTTCGCTCTTTGGTGTTCCGCCTGCGCAACAAGTCGTGGGACCGCGCCGAGCAGGTGGCGGTAGATGGGCCGGTAACTTGAATTTACCCGATGTGGGACTAATCCGATGATCCCCCGGTTTTGTCGGCACGCATGGGCTTGGGGTTATCGGAAAGGGTATTATTATGACACCATGCTTGCTTAGTGAGCAGGGTGATTTTGAGACAATGTTAACTGTAGTGGAATGAAAATAATGGCGTCTATTGCTGTCATTGATTGCTTAGTAGTAATCATAGTCTGTGTTTGAATATTTTGAGATGCCTTGGCCTGTTGTGTCAGTCACGTGGGTGTTTTAAAAGCACGAGTCAGTAAAAAAAAATTTAGTAGATAAAAATACTATTGGAATTCAAATAATAATCCATTAAGTAAGAGTATATTGATAAATTGATTAATTTTTATTAGATATACATAGTATGAAGATAAGGGTATAGTTTAATTTAAAATGTAAACCTGAATGAAAGAGCAGGTTAAGTAAATTAGATAATTTTATTAAATGTCAAATTTACTCTCTCGCTTTTATATGTGATCAATATATGTGATCAATGTTTTCGTCAAAAGTTGGTTTCGCTGTGGAATTCATTATATCTTCGGTCGATTACAACAAATTCAAA